CTCCTAGCCCAAAGCATGAATAAGAGGATGAGATTAAAATCCATGACATAATTACTGTTTTTGAAATTAAAAAATTTATTAACATATTCTAAGCTTGTCATTGATCTCTCAGTTAATAAGCAGGAACATCATTCAGTCCCACTAAAGTTGGCTTTCTCCCCTGCACCTGCTTTGTGTTAATTTCCCAAGGAGAGTTAATAACAAACCTGAAATAAACTAACAACCTGAAGCTCCCCATAGTAATATTTATTCTTTGCTTTAGACTTAGTGTTTTTATCTTGGAACTTACTTTATGTGCCTCCTCCTTATGGAAGCCTCTGACATTACTATAATCTGTTTAATGAATTTTTAACAGGCTTATATTGGGAGTAGCAGGCACCGAAATGCATCTTTAATTACTGTATTTTGTTACAGTGCTACACTTGGCAGGGTGCTGGTACTAAGGGTGGGGATCCACTGATAATTACTTACTTTGTCATCGATTTTTACTTTGGCAGAAATGTTTTTATTTTGCCCCTCACGAAGCAGCAGGAAAAGGCACAACTAACTCTGTAGTTGCTTCATGCTCCTCCACACTCTGGCCTCAGCCCCACAGTCAGAGAGAGTCGTTAGACATGATCATTTGACTACACTTTTTAATCTCGATTTTTTTAAGGGTTAAATTCAAAAGGATGATCAAGAATGACTATAAAATCTTTTGTGCATGGAGCACTGATTTTTACACTGATGGCATGAAAGTTGAGTGACCTTGATTGGGGAAAGTCATCAAAACCATGTGTTCAGATAACCTCAGATTTGGGTAGTTTTAAAACATGAACCTGTGTTTATGAAAAGGAAATATTTTTTAAATGAATGTATCATTTCAATGGTTTTCCTCTCTCTCAAGGGGAATAGGCTACTCTGACATGGCGATCTAACAGATGAGGACACAGAGAGAAGGCAGCCGTCTGGAAGCAAACCACCCCCCGCCCCCGGCCCCGCAGCAGACCAGCTGCTGCCCGGACCCGGGCCTTCCCCACCTCCAGAACTGTGAGGACCACGTTTCTGTGGTTTAAAATCTACTCCGTCCAGGATGCTCCACCAGCCCCAGAGAACAGACAGAAATGTAAACCAATTATTGTATAAGATGAGAATGTAGTCTATCACAGAGACACAGTACAGAGGTGAAAAAAGAAGCAGCCATCCGTTTTAAAAGCAGGATGAAGGAAGTCTTCACAGGTGGCAGAGGCTGTAAGGTGAGTTTGGAAGGCCGGATCAGAGTTGGATGGTGAGGGCCAGCTGGCAGGAGGAGGCCGCTCTCGGGGAGAGAGCCGCTGCCCAAAGAGGAGGGAAGGCTGAATGCAGCGTCTGGCGTGGACGCCCGATCTGCCTCCACCGCCCGCCACCCTCCTGCAGGCACTCACAATTATGGCCTCATCGGGCCCGTCCGCTCCTGAGGTCCCACTGATGAAGACTTCATCTGTCTCTGTCTCCAAAAAACTGGGAACCTCAGTTCGGAACACCCCGCGTCTCCTCCAAATGGCACTGACAGTGAGCCATGTGCTCCTTTTCCTTTTCAGAGCTACTGTTCTCTGAGGCATTAGACGGACATCTGACCACATCAGACTCCTTTAGAAGGAGACTTCTAAATCCACAAATAATTTTTAAAATAAACATCACAAATAAATCATGACATTAAAATTCGCAGGGAGACATGTGAACACATCTGTGTAGCAGGGAAGGCTTCCCAACACCATGACTCTGTTCTCTCTTCTCATAACATCCTAAATCCTGCTATGAGACTTTAAAATGTGAATGCTGACCACATAGAAGGACTGCAAATACAGAAGGAAGGCCCTGGCACACTGGGCAAAGTAAGCACCAGGTCATCTCTCCCTCGCCAGGCCCCCCACCCTGTGCACGGTGAGTGGGCTCCTTCCTGGGAGAGAACCCGCAAACTCTTCCCCTCCGAAGCCCCTCCATCACCATGTCTGCCCCCGTCAGGAAACTCTACTGAGGCTAAAGCTATTGCAGAAATAAGCAACAAGAAGAATAAAAGGGAATGTGTAAAGCTGTATTCAATACTACTATAATCTGAATTAGAAACCCGGCAGATGAAATCTGTATGTGAAACACTCCCTGAGGCTGACCTGCATCCTGGAGAGGAGACACGGTGGTTGTCTCAGAGGGTCTGTGAGTAACCGCAGGGGAGGGACTTGGCACCGGAGCCAAGCAGGCAGTTGGGCGCAGGCAGTTGCTCCTGCCCAGATTATGGCTGCACGTTATCAGTATTTCCCACCTTGGGAGCCAATTATAACCCACTTGAAAAACATCGCCTGTTACAGCCACTGAATCCAGGAAATACAAGCTCAAAGGACAATACCTGCGTTTATTCATCACAAGAAGGAGTAAGAAATCTGGTCAAACTACAAGATTCTGAAAGCACGGTCCAGCCCTTCCTCTCAACCACTTTATAAGACATTCCACATTCCCACTTTTTGCTTTCTCTCCAGAAAAATAAAGTCACTTTAAAGATGGCACAGCTCTAACTTTAGAAACTGGTAATATTCTTCCATAGTCCAAAAAACAGCCAATAAGTTTTTACTATTTTTATTTTTTAAATTGGGATGCCACATTTCAGTTATGTTTGCATTTTATAATTTGATTTAAATTATTTGTCTTTTTTAAAATTGTGGATCTAACAAAACAACCCTTAAAATTGAGCATATTTCTAAAAGTATCTTAAATATAATGTATGGCAAGGACATGTCCATAATCAGAGAATCTCGCATTTATGTTCCTTTACAATGATGTTTGATAATAACTTGCGATTATATCTTCACAGCTCCCAGTGAAGGTGATAGCCACCATTTCTTGACAGATGCTGTGTTAAGCCGCCCTCACAAAAGCAGTATGGAGTATATTTTAATTATTTCTATTTTATTTCTCAGAAACTGAGACTTCCAAAGTTTCCACCATGAATTGATTAATGATTTTGAACCTAGGGCTTTCCAATTCCAAAACCTGCAATTGTCACCATAATCCCAACTCATTCGGTGGATAACTACCAATCCTTGTTACTCACCAAGCATCACACAGGGTGCCCAAACATTTGACCGTATGAACTCATGCGATCCACACAAGCCTTACTATTAGACCTGTTGTACAGATGAGCCAGCTAAGGCACAGAGATGTTAAATAACCAGCCCAACAGGACAAAGCTGGATAATGATACATTGGTTTGCAGCCCCAGAGAGTGTGACTCTAGACAACCTCATCTCCATACTTAAGGATTATGATACAAATCAGCAAGTAAATAAAAGTTGCCTATTAAGGTTTTTCTTTCACTTATATGCAAATATTTTATTCATATAATAAAACACTGATAATCATATTTCTGGAAAAGAATTTAAAAACAGGTTCTGTTGCATTGGCCTAGTTATATAACAAATTGTTTAAATTTAGTGGAAAAGTCTTTCTCAATATTACTAAATATATTTGTTAAGATTTCAATTTTAGTCTTTTATTTTAAACATGGAGCTATATTCCGTTAGCTAAATAGAATGGTCGTATGAGGTGTTAAGAGATTTCAGTTAACAAAGAAGTTAAATAAATTAATATCTGATCAAACTTTTATATTGTTTCTTTAGTATCCTGAAATTAAACTCTACATAAAAAGCATTTACTGCATCTTGTCTCCGCTAAAAATCTAATGAGAAACTACATATCCTGAAACTCAGAAGCAGAAACAGAATTCTTATGGTTGGGGGGGACTGATACATACAATAAACATGTGTTTATTCATATTTCATGCAAACATAAGTGTCTCAAATATAAGAAATTAATGAGTCATTTATTAAAATTAAGTATCATTTTATCATTTATCTAAGTGAATAATATACAAAATATTAGACTGTATTAATGAATTTAAAAATAAAATTAAGGTCAAACTTTTTACCAGTTCTCTACCTGTAATATTAGTCAGTCATAGATAACTCCACCTATTTTTGTGGGGTTTATAGTTAACTAATAGTTTCACAATACCATCTCATTTGATCTGTAAAGTAATCTTATGGACTAGATAAACTAGAAATTCTTCCACTCATTTTACAGATGGGAAAACAAAGGCCTAGAAATTTAAAGGGTCAGTCAGATGATAAATGTTCGAGCCAAACTTAAAATTAAAGTCTCTGACACTGAGTATAATTTCATTTTAAAAAATTATTTATTTGTTTTTAGAGAGAGGGGAAGTGAGGGAGAAAGAAAAGAAATATTAATGTGTGGTTACCTCTTAGGTGCCCCCTACTGGGGACTTGGCCTACAACCTCAGCATGTGCCCTGCCTGGGAATCAATCTGGCGATCCTTTGGTTCGGAGACTCTAGCACTCAATCCACTGAGCCACACCAGCCAGGGCAAGCACTGAGTATAATTTCCTTTTATTTACACTATAAACATCATGCATCAATTACCATATGCTATTTGCGTAATTGAAAGCATATCAGATGCCCTGTTGGGTAAACCTACAATAGTGATTGAACTGGTTCAAAACATTAAATGAAGGAAAACTTTTAAGCTTCCATTGCCAGATTTGTGTGAACTAAAAAGCTAAAAGAAACTTTCCAGTGACTTTTTTATTTAGTTAAAAGGAAGGTAAAAATCTATACTTATAAATCCTGCCTATATGGATACATACAGGGTGGGGCAAAAGTAGGTTTACAGGTATTTATATGGAAAATAATACAACAATAATAAATAAGAATCAGATGTTTCACATACTCACAATTGTAAACATACCTTTTCCCCTCCATATATGTACGAATGCGTATAAGTATTTATAAAAAATAATACATCCTAATCTGTTCTTGTATTTTGTTCCTGTTTGCTCAATAAACAAGACAATCTGTCCATATTTTATAGCTGCAACACAAACACATGTATTTGGTACATTTTTCCTTATCAACACAGACTCTTAAAATCTTGCTCTATAACCACGTGCATGATATTGAGTAAAAGCACCTACTAGCGAAGAGCCTTAGCGGGGAGCATCGTGGTGAGAACGGGCACAACTCCGCCAGTCCGCAGTCCACTGAGCCCTCACAAGCGGAAGCTGCACCATCACTGCGCGGACCTACAGACACACACACGATAGTCAGTCAATAAATATCACTGCAGAGCATTTGCACTAGCGCATTCTTCCAACCTGTGGTGTTGGAAGAAAAGTCTGCTTGAGAAGCAATCCAATGGAAGGGTCTTCATGACGCCCCTTTGTTCTCCACGCAGTGAGCAGCAGGGCAGTGGGGATGCACCACGGAGCCTGTAATGACGGCTGATTAAGACATCATAAACTTAATGGTAAACTCGGTAACATTCCTGGAAGGTCATCATTTATGCAAAAAGAAACAAAGCAAACAAAAAATGCAAATTCAATATCCTCTGATATGGAATGTTGTTTTGAGCCTCTGTGCTGAACTCGATCATATGCTTGTGTATGAAATTTCATTTGGTCCCCAAAACAAAGCTGGGACACATTGTAGGCCCTCACTTCTTCAAGACACGCTGCGGGGCGCGGGGTCAGGGGCCCGGCTCTGAGCTCCGGGCCACCTTTCCGCGCTCGCCACTTGGTGTGTCAGAGCACACCCTCCTGCGCGCGAGCGCGGGGGCTCCATACGCCTTGATGGCAGGCGGCAGAGTAGCGTGTCCCCTGGAAGACAACGGCACTCTACACGGCTTTGTACAGAATATAAAGTGGGGTCTCATTTTGGAATACAGTGCCTCACACATGTAAATATTAAATATTTGCTGAGTAAATGAATGACTAAAGAACAATAACATAAGTAGGAATTGGCATATATTTTTGTCTCATCACACTTTTGTTTCATCCACCCTATCACTTCCCAAAGTTACCTTCCTGATTGCCACACAGTCTCATGAGGAAAATGTAGAAAAATCATGAGATTCAGGAATGTTCATTCAAGAATTACAAACTAATGAGGAGTCAGTTTAGTTCAATTGGAGAGGTTCCTGAGAACAGCAAAGGTTCAATAACAAAGCAATTGTCTAGAGAAACAGGAATAAACCGACTCTTACACTTCTAGACTTGGTATTAGCTTTCTAACAGAATGGATCCCTCCCCTGTGTGAGCTCCCACACACATGGCTGCACACGCACAGGAGAAAACTGAAATGGCTAAGAGCCTAGGCAGAAGATCGTGACCAGAAGGAACCCGGAGAAGCTACTCTGGGATGAAGATGCTGCAGAGAAACAGGCAGACAGGGGACCCCAATGATCAGGCCTTAATCAAAGCAGCAGTGTGATTTCTGCCAAGAGCAGGGTGGGCACCTGACCCCTGCCACCTGTTTCTGTGTAGTTTGTGAGCTAAGGATGCTTTTACATTTCAAATTGTTGAAAGAAATCAAAAGAATCATATAAATTATTTGAAATACAAATTTTAGACACTATAAATAAAATTTCATTGGACTACAGCCACACCATGTATTTCCATATTGTCTCTGGCTGCATCATGCTGCGAAGACAGAGCTGATGGGTTGTGACAAATGGTGTGACTCAAAGTTTAAAGTGTTTCTTGTCTGACCCTTTATAGAAATAGTGGGCTGATTTCTGGTCCAGCTAGTTCTCAATTGAGAGGGGATGTTACGAGAGAAAGGTCGTGTTTTGGGGGTAGATTGGAAGCAGGGGGTGGGATCCATTCCCCTGCGGAGGATGGAGAGCCCCAGCAGCGACCGTAAAACAGTCCGTTAGCGAGCCAGGGCGTATCCCTCATAGGCCCAGGGGGCGGCAGGGAGGGGCTCTTACACTGAGCCTGCCGAAAGCTGCAGATACGAATGGGTAGGGCCCCAGCGCAATGGAAAGCTAGAAAGATGACTGGCAGGGACCCTGAGGCACCAAAAGCCAGAGAGATAATTGGATAGGAAAAAATCTCTCCTCTTCCTATCCCTAAAAGACCCGCAGGCTTGAGGAGGAGGGTAGAAATGGTCTTTCAGACGGAGACCACTATTTTCCCAGGTTGTGCAGCACATGAGTAAGCCTCTTTGCTTTTGCATCATGAGTTTGGTTTTCTGTGGCAACAGGCAACCGAACCTTGGTTTTTGTTTGGTAACACAAGGGCAACCCAACAGCTGCGCTGATAGGATGAGCTTTTCCCAAGAGAGGCACTGGACAGGAGGCTGGGCTCAGCCACACTGGAGGTTGGACTCAATCTGGCACACAGACTGAGCCAGAGAGGACAGGTGGAGAAAGCCCACCTCCAGGACAATGTCCTTTCCCACATTCTGAGAAGACAGGACGGTCTTCTCATGGAAGGTATCTGTGGGGCTGTGATCCCTCCCTGTATGTGCCACCTACAGAATGACCGACAACTGAGTGAACCAGCCTTCCTGCTACAGGTCCCAGAAGGATGATTACCAGAGCAAACAGAAATGCCCAAGCAGGTTAAAAACTCGCTGTCCACCTCATTTAATGGCAAACAGAGGCCATATCTAAGAAGGATAAGTGGTGATGAAGAAAAACAAAATAAAGCACACAGGCCATAAAAAAGACTCTGCTAGACCTCCCACAGAAGCCATAGCCTGTCTGTGGGAGAAGGCATTGACGTTTGAAAGTAAAATTTGTTTTGTACGATACCTGCTTTGTACTCTCAATGAAGTTTCAGACAACACAGAACCGCAAAATTTATCTTCAAAGAAGTTCATTAAGCCCAAATAAAGAAGAAGATACATATATTGCGTTTAACTATTAATTGCACCTCAGTGAAGAGGATTGATCACAACTTGCGTCTCAACACCAGTTCCACCATATTCTTGCTCTTCACATTCAAATTCTCATTTCTACCACCTCCAACATAGGGTTATTCTGAGAGTTGTGTAGACAAAATATGCATAAAATGTCCAGCACACTGCCCATCACATGGGAGGTACACAATGTGTACCAGCTCCCTGTCTTCTTTCAGCTCCGCCCTCCTCCTCCCGCCCCTCCAGTCCTGCCTCTAGCTCCTCTCTAAAGACTGTTACAGCCACAGGGAAATGGGTCCCAGGCAGGCAGGTCTGTTGTCACACTTGACCTTGCATCTTCTGTGTTCTCTGAGTAGATTCCATCTGTTACTTTTGGGTCCTTCTTTAACAGGTAAAGTTGGTATTCACTTGAAAAAAACTTTTAATTCAGAAGTAAATTCTGTAACCATCCCTTATCCCTCAGGCAAAAATATCCTGCTGCAACATTTTATGCATAAATCCATTATAATTAATATTGTATTGTTAACCGCCTACACGTGTTTTTCCCAAGAGGCCATATCTTGATTGATAGGCTATGGTATCAAGATGATCATGGGGCAGACAGACAGACACATGAACACACACACACTTTGCTGCCTGTTCGCCAGCTAAGCCGCAGGGCGGCAGCGGCAGCTGCCACTCTCACTGAGCAGAGCGCCTCCTTCCTGCCAGTTGCCAGCAGCGACTCAGAAATGTCAGGAGCACAACAAGCTCTATTATTTGTTAAAAGAATGAATAAAGAAGAAAAAAGAATGATGAAAATATAAATTTGGTGAGGATATAATACATGAATGAAAAGGAACACAACATACTGTTGGTGGCACTTACAGCTTAATTATCCTAAAAATCCACCTGATAATAGGTACAACATACTATAAATCCTTTATTTTATAGATGTGTGTAAAACACTTTTAGGAGTAGTTCCCAATAACAAACTTCCCCATTTCTTAGGCATCTACTAAGTACCAGCCACTGGTAGGTACAATCTCTAAGGAAGCTATTATTTTCTTTCTTTCTTTTTTTTTTTTTTTTTTTGTTAAAGAGGAGGAACTTGAAGGTGAGGAAACAATTAAGTTTTTTTTTTTCCTTGACTAATGGCACACAGATAGTAGAAACCTAAGTATATCAAACTCTAAAATCTAGTCATTTCCACAAACTAAGCTTGGTTTCTATTTTGTTAACAGAACACATGTTGCATAAATAGTTAATAAACCGTAGTTGTTACCACTGCTATTGTTAATACTATAACCCAACAAAAGGAAAGCAGTTCAATGCTATAAAATGTTACAAACTTACATTAAGTTTAATTGTTATAAGACACATGAAAGTTAAGTAATATAAGGAAATATGTATATAAATTCAGAATACAAAATGTTACATATAGATTCATTAAAATTAAAATTTTAAATAAGTTAAATATTAGAAGGCAATATAATGAAAATAATAAGACTGTGTGACTATAGGTAATTGATTTGAAGTTCATCAATTTATTTGGGAAAATGCACATTTGACAAAGTTAAAATTTATGTTTAAAAAACAGATAAAAAGCATACATTTCTAAAAGTTGTGATAACATCCCAGATCTCCACATTAGAAATCTCTTTTTTATCCCTGAGCAAGAGAATAAATTACTGCTATATCTGTAAACGCTGTTTGCTGTTTGCCTATTTATTTATTTTTCTATTGGGAATGGAAACATCTCGAGGCAAAAATTATTGATGTAATGTCTTCTTTGAAATGGAGTCATTTAAACCATCTCTTCTACTTAAAATAAGGAGTGTACCTTAAAATTTCTCAATTAGCATATGTAATTAACACACAATGGTGCAAATTCCTGTACTAAAAACTTTCATATATATCTCATGTTTTATATAAATACATATTCCTATAGCTATGAGAGAGGCAGAGAGCAAGAGAGCGCGCTAGAACTGCAAAAAAGAATAGAGACAGAAGTCATTGCCCAAAAAAGGGTAAGATTGTTTCACCACAGCCACAGACCAGACCACGGCCTGGGCTGTGCTGGGACTGCTCTGGGGACCGACCCTGCGGGTGGCCCGGCTCACAGCCACGCGAGCTTCATGCGCCTGCGGAGGCACATGTGTTGATGACGACGCAACTGAGCTGCTCTGACTCCCTTCGCATTGTAACTGAACAAAGACACAAAAAATTGAAAGAATTCTGTTTAATCAAGAGCAGCATCTCTTATCAAGAAAGTGCAAAAAAGGGAGGTTGATGGCACAGCTCTGCTGCCTAATCTCCAGGAAAGCAGCACCCTGCACACTGTGGGTGGCGCTTCCTGCCAGGCCAGGGGGGGAGGAACGGCGGGGGCGGGG